TGTGACTAAGATTTGAGGTAAGGGGCACGAGGAGTGTTGCACGGAGGCGCTCTGTTTCCTGCCTCCCTGATGTGTTGCAGCGTGGAGGAGGCTGCAGGCGCAGCGAGGGGGCCTGCTGCTGGGGTGGATCTTGACTGGTTTCAATTTGTGTTATCTTGTACTCTCTGGCTCTGAGTGGTTCCATTATGGGGATTGATTCTATTGTGAACTATCCAGTCATAGTTGGCCAGAGAATCTGATGGTGTAGATATCTATTGGGAAAGTTGACGCTTATAGTGAAGCATGCATGCAATACGTTATTGCTGTTTTAACTCTGTTTCAGTCTCTCACTGGTCAGCCTTGAGAGTCAGATTTTATTGTCTCTATTACAACCAGGAATATAGCAATAGTCTTAGAGAGGGTTACGGAGTTTGTGCAGGACGTTGGGTTATAGCAGTGGATGGAGGACCTGTGGTCTATGAACACGGTTTGCCTAGATAGCTGTGGTCTGTGAGGCGTTTTCTTTTCCTATCCGTCAGCGGTTCCACAGACAGAACACACGAGCAGGCAGTGGATCTCTAAGCCATCTATACATCTCCAGGCGAGGATTACTTGACGATTGTGGCTGCCGTGACACAATTTCATTTCACTGGCCTCCCTGACAGAGGCCAAGGGACCACAACCTGTTCCAACAGAGGAATGGGCAAGTGTGGGTCTTAGGTGAACAGTACACTTTCCCAGTCACTCCTAACGTGCCCACTCACTGGCACTCAGCACGGCAGGTTAGGATGGGAGAAGGGACTGTGAGTTCAGAGTCCCCTGACTAGCCGTGCAGCCCTAGGCGTTGGAAAAGCTGCTGATGCTTTGAGTGTTGATTTCCTCACTGACTTTCATTAAGCACCTACTGTCTGCCAGCACCGAGCCTGAGCACCAGAGACATGGCAATAGCACACACGGTCCCTGGCATTTTTTCATGAAGAGTACTCCTTGTTTTCACAGTCCCTCCTCATCCCTGTCTTGTCTCTCCCAAAATATGGTAAAGGGATGGCAGTAAGATGCAGTCAGGAATCAGAAATACACCAGCCAATTCCATCATTCCCTTCCTCCAACACTGACTTCTGGAATCAGGATATTTAAGGCTTTTGGAAGACCAATCTACTTTTCCTAATTTATTCTATTTCCTGGAAAAATTTTCTTTTGCCCTCATTGCTTACCTATTATAAATCCTACCTATATTTCAAGGTCCTATTCAAATTCTGCATTCTCTGAAAAAAGTATATATCCGGATACTTCCATGGTCCTATTTCTTTACACTTTCATTTCTCTGAACCTATCAGTTTAATCTGAATACATGAACTATGTAATAAATTCAAGCACTCATTCCATATTTGTTTCCACAAGCTTAAATTTGGTTTTCTAAAAACACACATTTATTCCTCTTTCATATTCCCAATAGAGCCAAGTCAGGTGCTGGGCATGCAGTAGGTACATAATTAATAAATTCGTGTAGATTGTTTGCCCACCCTATGGTGAGAAACTTGAAGGAGAGGCTGCTGTCTTATTCATCTCTGCATTCCCAGCACCTACCAGAGTGTTTGGGACATACAAAGGACTTGAGAAACTCATATTAAGTTGCAAAGGACTTACCATTTCATTTATGTTCTTTAAAATAGGTTTTTCCATGGGCTCAGCAAAGGAGTTGTATAGGACACTAGGAAAAAAAGAAAAAAAAAAAAAGGACTTACTCAGGTACCAGAATCTGTCAGTTATAAACCTCCCCTGGGTGCTGCGTGAGTATCCAGCCCACACTAGCCACTGCCCACACGGTGCTCCCACTCACCTGAGCTCTCCAGAAAATGAGACGTGGGCGTGGCTCACTTGGGCATAGCAGTCCTGGAGCTTCAGGGTTGGATGACCAGAGACATCTCGGGTCAGGATAACAATACCAGTAAAGTAGATCGCCGAGAGAAAGAGATCAGCTCCTCCCGCATCTTGGCTGTGTAGAGGAAAAGGGCAATGTTACCCAAGCCCAGGCCAGGCACGGAGACAGATCTTGTTTCTCTAATAACCCAGAGACTCTCCAAGCTCCTGGAGGGCGAGGACTTTCTCACATTTATCTCTGGATTCCTGGCACCTACAATAGGTAGGAATGGAGTAGGTGCTGAATGAATATTTATTTACTGGACAAATGAAGTAATGAACATGTGAATGATAGCAGCTTTGGGGATATTGTAGGTATTTCATCTTGAGTGCTCTGGCCCTGGTGGTGGTTGAGCACCTATTGAGCACCATTCATATACAATGTTTGCTTGGAGGAAGAACATCAGGGGTAAAGTTGGTAACACCTTATTCAGGAGGGGCATAGATGGGGAAGTGACAGAGAGACGTAGTCTGTGAACTCCTCGAGGGAGTGGACTGTGTGTTTCTCCAGGACTTAGCACACGGCCTAACACAGAATAAGCATTCAGTATATGGTTGATCAGTCATCAAATAAATGAATGAATACATGAATATATGTTGTTTACGGGGAAACATGCCATTTTCATCTACAATACGGAAGTGCTCAGGACGGGGATAATGGTACGCAGCAGGCACTCAATGATTGCTCATTGACTGACCTGCTGGGTAAATGAATGTGTTGTGTGTTCTTCTGGGCCATCAAGAAATAAGCATTACACCCAGGACAGTAACTTGTATGTGGTAGGTGGTCTGTAGATGTACCTTGAATTTGACCTCTTTCTTCTATATGAGGGTGCAAAGGCTTTTTGGTTGGGGGAGAATTGGGTGTAAGCTGACTACCATTCTTCAACCTCTCTCTGTGTGACTTAGGAAGGACCCATTTCCCATTAGTTGCCCCTGTAGATGGGGAAGTGTGTTGTATGGCTCAAGATTAGGCAGTGATTTGTTGGTGGATCTAAAACGCTGGACACAGGTCGGTTCCTTCTATAGTCAGGACTTTTAGTTCTTAGGAAATCTTAATTGACATTTGATCAGTTGTTCTACCTTTAAGGGAAGAATGCTTTTCACACCCTCCATTACACCCCTGCATGGATTTCCTGATTTAACTCTCACCTGGAAAAAATGCTCTTGAGAAATATTGTTAATATTGAGAGAAAGAAGCCTAACATTGAAAGCATCAGCAAATTTATATACTCTGCATTTTTGCTCCACTTGCCCTCAGAACAGCAGCAGATATTTCAGTGGAATACTCACAAGAGTGGAGACTTGATTTCCCAATTCGTGCTGATGTTGGCAGTGCCATGGTTGGTCAGCGCTTTGATTCCCACTCCGGGCACAAAGGCTAATGAAGTATTTGGAAATGAAAAGGCATTGATTTTTATGCTGTAAAACAAGGAGCAGGTAAGTTAGGATAACGTCTTCAGGCACATCACTTAAGTCAAGCAAAATCAGAAATGCAGTTGTAGAACTCCCACGCTGAAGCAATTGTGAATTCTTCAATTCACAATTGAGGAACCTCCCATCTGCAGTGTGGTCTCTAGGCACTGCCTCCTCATTCCTCTCAAACTATTGGCAGGAAGTCCCTTGTATATGGTTGAAGGGGGAAATGAGCAAGCTTAGAAATAAATTTGTAAATAATCCAGTTATCTATTTCTTTAGTTTCTTTAGAGGCAAAAACAGGTGCAGCATTGCCATCATTATTTTTCCTTCAGTAGTTCCAATGTTTCTCAGAGGGAGTGCTACTAGTATTTTGGAATGGACAGCTATTTTTAAAGAGGACTGTTGTATTCATTGCAGGACATTTTGACACATATGCCAAAAGTGTCTCTCCCCACCTGTCACTGGGACAACCAGAAACGTGTCTTCCTTCCTGCAAATGCCCTTTATGTGGATAGTATCTTCTCTAGTTGAGAAACTTAGAGGGTTGACTTCCCCTAGTAGACTTCTCTGGGCTGTCAAACAGGAAGCTAGGAGGAAGTGGGTTGCATGTTACCTACACAGGTGGATGGCTGTATGCATCATGATAAATTATTATGAACATGTATTGAGCGATTACTACCTGCCAGGCACTGTGGTAACCACCTTACATGCATTAGCTCAGCTCGACTCTCACAATAATTCCATGAGGCAGTTGCTATTTTTGCAATCTCCATTTCAGAGATTAGAAGATAAGAAAAGTGGTTGAAGTCACATATAAGTGGTAGAACCAGACCTGGAACCCTCCTCTGTCTGACTTCAGACTGTGCTTTTAACCACAAGGCTATGCTACTTCACATATTGTGCAAAGAGCACTTGAGTCGGAGCCAAGTTTTGTACTAGCTGAACAACCTTGGGCAAGGCACTTACCCTCTTCCAGTCAATCACTCAAAAGAAGTATTACTCACAGGTATAATAGGTTGGGGAGACAAAATGAGTTCATGTGTGTATAATTGCTGCACAGGAGAAAGGCATTGTACTGAACTAAGATTTGGAAAATATTAAAATATAAATGTGATAGCTGATTAAGAAAGGATTATTTGCTGTTTCCTCTTTTATGCATCCTTTTCTACCTACTTTATTTATTCATTTTTTTTTTTTATTTAGACAGAGTCCTCTGTTGCTGATAGGGCTAGAGTGCATGTGGCATCAGCCTAGCTCACAGCAACCTCAAACTCCTGCCCGCTCAAGCAATCCTTCTGTCTCAGCAGCCTCCAACCGCAAATAGCTGGGTAACTACAGCCATGCTGCCACCATGCACCGGGGCTAAGTTGATTTCTATATAACTTTCTAGTTTGGCCAATTAAATTCATTATATTATTTAGTGGAGACAGGGTTCTCGCTCATCTGCCACCAGGCTGCACTTTCAAACTCAACTGACTTGATGATCCTCCCACCTCATGACCTACCAAGATAGATGTTAGTCAAATATACAGGTGTGAAGCACCACTGTGTCCGGGCCCACTTTTTCCCAAACATACATATTCTATCACAACATCCACGAAGTCCTACTGTGGGGGAGCCGATTATGACCTGAGGTATTATATTTCATGCGTATCTTGGAAATATCTTTTGTTTTGATACATACGGGCTCTAACCAATTCTTTATGATGCTGCCCCAGAGTATATCTGAGCTTATGGGATGGACCATTTAAAAAAAAACACTTCCTTTGTGGTTGAAATTCTAGGCTTGTTTCCAGTACTTCATAGTACATTATAAGCAATTCAATACAAGTGAACATCCTCAACCCACTGCACTTTATGTACATGTGCCTTCCTATGGGAGGATGCCTGAGCCGAGTAGAATTTTTGGAGGGTCAAAGGGGCATGCATGTGATGATATCTAATCAATATTTATACTTATATCATATGCTGTATAAATGATACTTAGTAAAATCACACTTCCTAAAATAGCACCTTCAGTAGGAATGTGAGCACATTCAATATGATAACACGTGTAACGTCATAATGACATTTCAAGTCAATTCACGAACTGCACTATACAACATTGGCTGCCCATAAGCATTATCAACTATTGTATTTTACTGTCCATGTTAAGATTTTGTTTAGACACACAAAAGCTTACCACCAATCGTTACAAATATTCAGTACAGCAACATGCCATGCAATTTGTTAGCCTTTAGGAGCCAATAGGCTATCCAGGCGTCCTCAACTTACGGCCCTGCGGGCCACATGTGGGCCACCTTTAGCACATTTATCAGGCCCTCCACGGTATCTTTTCCACTGCTGCCCTGTCCTCTGCTTAGCAGTCCAATCTGTCCCGGGGGCCACGTGTGCACTCTCCAACGCGTCTGAGGCGACAGTGAACTGGCCCCTGGTTATAAAAAAGTTTGAGGAACCCCTGGGTATAACAATATATAGCCATAGAATTGTGTAGTAGGCTAATTACAATATATCTAGGTTATGAGTAAGTAGTACTATATCATGTTTGCTTACAATAAGATTTTAATGTTCACCATCTCCCAACCTGGAACATTATGCGACAGGTATGCCTGTATCACTAATTATCCCCCTCTGCCTAGAAAACATAGGATGATATAGTAGGCAATATAAATCAGCTGTGTAGAAGTTACATCGAAATAATACATAGGAAGAAGAACAAACGCAGAACATACAAAAAAGGCAACAGCATGTTCTACTTGGTGTGATAGAACTCCGCAGCGCGGTACTTTACACTCACAGCAGGATCATTGGAAATGTGGGCGCCATTGTGCAGCGACATCCTAGTTCTCTCCCTGTATCTCCGTGCCAGTGTCTCTTTTTTCTCGTCTATATATATAATAACGCCTCTCTCGCTTGGAAATATTTTATGATAGAGTGCAAAGTTTTTAATATTCATGACTCTATGGGAAATTGTGAAAATCTACACAATGGGGTTGGTGAGATAGCTGCGGAATAGTGTCTCTCTTCTGGTTTGTTAAAGTGCTATGGTTGTGTGCTGATATATGTGTGTGAATCTCAAGTCCAGGGAGAAAACTCCTTAGAAAATTTTGGCCTCCCCTAACCCTGTAACGATTGATATTTCAAAGAGCTGGAGAACAAAGATATGCCATCACTTTCACCTATAAACACGTGCCCTATGTTAGGGGTCCTTACTCTAGGTGAAAGCATTTACTAGATCTTGACAGAGTTTTTGTCAGCTTAACCTATAGAACAGCGAAGCTTTCTCTCATTTTTTGTAACAGCCCTCTATGAATTTTGTTGAGGATAAGAAGTTGTCTTGTTGGTAAAACTATATTGCTGTCGAAAGTCAGATTGCTGGAAATACATGTTGCCGATCTTTATGATCCTCATATGTGTCATTGTAGGAAACTAATGTATATGGTAGCCAAGTTTTGTTTCGGCATCATTTATTGAAAAGAACGGTAGAGCATTCATTTCGCACAAAAGTGTAATATGTGTAGTGTGAGACTGCGCACTGCAGCTTATATAGTACGAAGCCTATATATCACCTTGCTTGTTCCCCACTGTACCATGTACACAAGGCTGAACCACTTTTATTCCTTGGGAATCTTGCATGGCTGTAATTGCGATACATCAGAGTGGCCATAATTGTAGCTCAATTGCATGTGGCAATAGCTTGTAGAAGTAGGAGTCAGAGCTAGAGGTGGTTGCTTGA